AGGTTATGTATTCACCGATGTCACTGTCTGGGTGTCTATTCCAGTTTGTTTTTAAATCTAGTATCTTTGTTGAGAATTGATAATAAAATACGCGACGACTTGGTAACGAAAGCTTGGCGCAAGTTTTTTTAGATCCAGCTGTAGGGGGCGTCCCATTTTTCGTATTCCCACCATGCATTTCGGTGGAACACAGTGGAACACTTTTTTTGTGTGGAGAACTCTATCTTGTATTTCTAGTATCTTTGGTCATCTCCATTGTTTAGCACACATGCTGTCTTGAATTGAGCCTTCAGAAAATCATTCATTCTTCGCTATATTTTTCATAATTTACACGGTTTTTTTTAATTTACTGTGAGTATATTAATCTATAATTCAATTATGGGTGACAAGAAGAGAAGTGGTCGCAAGAAAATTAGAAAATTTAAGAATACAAGAGCAGGCAAGTCTAAGCCTACTGCTGGTAGTGCCAGTGTGACCAAGCCAGCCAGGCTAGGCCTAGCCCCTCAGCCTCAGCCAGAAAGTTAGGGCCTAAGAAACGAAAGTATGTTGATTCCTCTGATTGCAAGGATGGATTTATAATAATGGACATAGCAGTTTTATTTAATTTTATTGAAAATAACATTAGTTGTGATTATTGCGAATCTGGAAGTAATTCACACAATTCTGCTGATGATGAGAAAGTTCAATGCTCTTTTCTACTGGATCAGAGAAGAGGATTTTATAATGAAATTGAAATGTCTGGATGTAAATGGAGTAAGAAATTAGTAACATCTAGTGAAGTAGAATGTGAAACCAGAGGACGAAAGGCTAAAGAAGTGAACATTAGAATGACGTCATATGTACGGTCCATTGGAAAAGGACACGGTGCATTCAATAATTTTTGCATGCACATGAATCATCCGGGACCCATAGTGAAAGGCACATATCAATCTGCTTTTAGAAAATTGCATGAAGCTAATAAGAAAGTTGCTAATGCAAGCACAATGAATGCTGCTAATGAGGTGAAGGCGGCTGCTGGATCTGGTATCAACGAGGTAGTCAATTGTAGAGTGTCATTTGATGGCACCTGGCAACGCCGAGGTCGCAGCAGTCATCACGGTGTTGTTACCGCTATTTCAGCTACGACAGGAAAATGCCTTGATGTTGAGGTTCTTAGCAACATTTGCAAGTCATGCAAAATTTGGAGGAAAAAAGACAAAGAGAGTGATGAATACCAACGATGGAAATTGCGACATACATGCAAGGCTTACCATACTGGCTCCGCCAATGCCATGGAGTCTGTAGGAGCTGTTCGTCTTTTTCTGCGATCCGAACAGAAACATGGTTTGCGCTACACAGAGTACCTTGGCGATGGTGACACGGCATCATATTCCAAAGTTGTTCAAGCTGAGCCATATGGTCCAGATGTGCACATAACAAAATTAGAGTGTGTCGGGCACGTACAGAAACGCGTTGGAGCAAGGCTTAGAAAACTAAAGAATGACAACAAGAGTAAGAAATTTTCAGATGGAAAAGGGATTGCAGGTGCCAAGAGGCTAACAGACAAATTAATAGACACTCTCCAAAATTATTATGGGTTTGCTATCAGGCAAAATGCTGGAAATTTAGCTAAAATGACATCAGCGGTTGAAGCAGTCCTCCGTCATGTTGCGTCGACAGACGAAAACCCCATGCATGAACATTGCCCACAAGATGAAAACACATGGTGTGAATATGTAAAAAATCCTGAACAGTATAAGCACAAACATGGTCTTCCCATCGAAATAATGAAATTTATTGCTCCAGTATTCAAAGATCTGGCAAAGCGAGAATTGCTCGGAAAATGTTTACATGGAACCACGCAAAACAATAATGAATGTCTGAATATGCTTATCTGGGAACGTTGCAACAAAGAGCATTTTGTAGAGTCAAAGGTTATTGAAGATGCAGTATTCAGTGCCTTAATTCACTTTAATGAGGGAAAAGATGGAGTACTTAATGTCTTTCGTGAACTCGGAATCAGTCCTGGAAGTTATACGACAATGATGTGTTCTATGGAAGACTGTCAAAGAATTGAACGTTCAAACAAAAAGTCATCAGAAAATGTAAAAAAAAGGAGAAAACAACTAAGAGCCATTAAAAAAGGCTTCTTAGATGAAGCAAAAATGAAGGAAGGGGATTTGTACACCCCAGGAGGACATTAAATGGACTGAACCCTTGATATTGTGAACTCCGCAATGAAAATCTCTCGTTTTCTCAAAAGTAATAATTTTATATACCATCAATTTTTAAAATGCTATATATCAATAACTACAAGTTATTTTTAAATGAAATTTGGTATGAATAATCCTTACATACTGCTTTATGTCCTAAGGTAATTTTTAAATGAAAAAAAATAAGTGTTATTTGTCATTGGTCAAGGATGAATATATAATTAGCGAAAAAATTTTATGATTTTAAATTTTCTAAAATTATTAATTACAATCAATTATTAAACTAATTAAATTTACCTAAGGACATGTAGTTCTACTTAAACAATAACTGTACAAAATTTCATTGAAATTGGATTATCCAGTGAAAAGTTATGATGTTTTAAGTGATTTTGTAATACGACTCCTCAGTGCTGACCTTTGACCTCCAGGAAGGTCACGTCGATGAATTCTATAATTTTTGACCTATTATATGTAAATATGTGTAAATAAAATACATTGCTCTATTTTAACTCATTTTTTTAGTCATTTGTTTTTTTATTGTTCTACCACCTAAGAAAAATTGGGTCTGGATCTGATCAAACAAAACAATTTAATTTTTTTAACCAAGTGGACGAGATACATGGACGTAGGCCGAACATATCGCCACACACAGCCAATCTTGGAGAGTCGCACGTCAGCAGAAAAAACAACAGCGACACTTTAACTTCAGCGATGGCGGCTAGGCATATGCCGCATATTCATAGTCCTGTCCCTCGGCATCATATAGACCTACTACTACTACAATGACTAGGCCTACTACTAGTACTACGATTTCGACCACCACCAGGGAATTAGGGGGGGCTGGTAGTACTACTACTAAATAAGGTTAAGGGCTGTTGAATCTGAGTTGTGTGATGATGTCATCTACAACTTCATCCTTAAGAAGATGTGGTGATGTCATAATAATTTCCCCAACATATCTTGTCCGTAAATGTATAAAATGGGATACAATCCTAACATTTAGTTAGTCCAAAAGTTCTAAAGTTATCATCAACTTTATTACAAGTCTGCTGTCTGCCGTGGTTCATTAAGTTTATCTATAGACCCGGTCTCGGACACCAGTCTTTCATTCAACTTACTTAGCTGTGGGCTCAGCTTATTCTGTCCACCATCATTTTTGTTCTCTTTTATAATAATTTATCAGATTTTATTAATAAATGTACATATTGTATATAATACTAAGCTATTGCGTTTGCTATTCTCTGTTTGTGCTCTGCATGTAACAGAAATTGGGGACTCGTCCAGGAATTGAAGTTGAACGATCACAACTTGAATTTTATATTTGTATTTTGTGATTTGTAATTTTTAATTAACAACATAGGAACACTAAGGCCTTTGTTGTTGCTTCACCATCCTTGGATGTTTTAGATATACCAAAACACTTTGAGCTTCCAACTACTTCTGCCATGCGGAAGCAAGAAATTCGGGCCACTATTGTCGAGCACTTAGATGATGAGGATATTTTTGAAGAAAATGCTCTAGGACTTATTGCACCAGTTAGTGCTAGCGATTGGCAACTTAAAGAATTGGAATTAAAATTTAAAATGGAACTACAGCTGGAGAAGGAATAACGAAAAAATTATTTAGAGCTAGAAAAAGAAAAGATTCATAATGAATTTAAGCTTAAGTAATTACAGCTAAAATCTCAGGCTAAAACAGAGGTACATACTCCTAAATTTGATGTTAACAAAAATCTCCGCCTTGTACCTCCTTTTAAGGAGGATGATGTTGAAAATTTTTCCTTCATTTTGAAAAAGTATGAATTGGCCAGAAGATAAACTGACACTCCTTTTGCAGAGCGTATTAATTGGGAAGGCAAGGGACGTTTACTCTGCCATTTCTGTTAGCCAAATTGCTGACTATAGATTAGTAGAAAAATCCATAAATTTTGTTGTCTAAATCACCTGTTGGGTAATATTCTAAATAAGGTTAAGGGCTGTTGAATCTGAGTTGTGTGATGATGTCATCTACAACTTCATCCTTAAGAAGATAATGTCATTCCCAAATTCATCTTAAAGTTAGTAAATTCATCAAATTCATAATGAATTTAAGCTTAAGGAATTACAGCTAAAATCTCAGGCTAAAACAGAGGTACATACTCCTAAATTTGATGTTAACAAAAATCTCCGCCTTGTACCTCCTTTTAAGGAGGATGATGTTGATAAATTTTTCCTTCATTTTGAAAAAGTATGAATTGGCCTGGCCAGAAGATAAACTGACACTCCTTTTGCAGAGTGTATTAATTGGGAAGGCAAGGGACGTTTACTCTGCCTTTTCCGTTAGCCAAATTGCTGACTATAGATTAGGAGAAAAATCCATCCTTAATGCCTACAAACTCGTTCCTGAGGCATATCGTCAAAAATTTCGCAACCTCCGAATAAATATGGGACAGACTCATGTACAGTTTGCCAGGAAAAAAGAGAAATTATTTAATTGATGGTGTGGTTTTGAAGATGCACAAACCTTTGTTACGCTAAAGCAGTTAATGTTCGTTGAAGAGTTTAAATGAACGTAGGATAAACTCATTAGAAGAGGCTGCTAGAGCGGCTGATGATTATGCATTAACACATAAACTGTCATTTGCATCGAAATCCAAGCCAGGGTCTGGTGGGGATGTTAAATTAGGTTAGGGTTCTATCTACAACTATTATACTTGTCAACTCCAAGCCATTAGATTATAAATCAGGAGCTAAGTTTTCACAGGGGTCAGGAGGCAAGCACTCTGGTCCTAGTTGTCACTACTGTAAAAGCCTAGACTATGTCTGAGTGTTTTGCCTTAAAAAGAAAGGAAGCTTAAAAAATAGGCCTTTATATATATTTTGTGTCATAATTTGATTTGTTTGATTTGAATCCCCAATTGCAATTGAAAAGTTAGGGAAGACAGCCACCTATTTGAACGGGCGTTAGGAGAAGCTTTAAAGGGAACGATAATAATTAAAGGTAAAATGTTTGCGAAGTCATGTTTCATATTTTTAAAATTGACTCGCTTGCTCCACCTGGTGCTGTAACCAGTCTTCTACACAACCCATGGTGAAGACAGATGATTTACTGGTTTACCCGCTGCACAGGACATGACTTTTGTAAGCGTGTGGGTACAGAATAATTGCTAGTCATTTTTTTTTTTTAATTAATTCAAAATAACAATTTTTCATTCTCAGGTCCCGAAGATGCCTCCATTCAGGAAGCTCATGTAAGTGGAGATATAGCGATGTCAATAGATGAGTTGTAATCAACCCAGAAAGACTAATGGTTCCAAGATTAAGGGGAACTATTGTCAGAGCGGTTCGAAAAGAAGGTATGTACAGCTAGTATTCATATACCGGTATTATGAATTTATTTTATCAGTAAATTAGGATATGTAACTCGCTTTATTAAAGAGCAACATTTAGCTCAGCCAGTAGTTTATACTTGGACAACATCGGACAACTGTTTTTTGCTCATTTTTGTAGGCTATTCAAAAATGAGTAAACACAAAACATGGTTTTCTCCTATTTTATACTGTGCAACATTACTAAAATGTCATTTTGTCTTGCAGGAATTCATATGGGAAAGCCGTTTTGGAAAACAGCAAAGAAGCCAGAATGGTGGCCAAATGATGTGCTTTCGCATCACCAAATACGAACGATAAAGGTACAAACATCATAAAATCATTTTGCTTTTGATAAACTTCAAGGAGGTAGTTAACCAGTTGAAATATTATTGATATTTCCTACTAGTGATAAGACATGATCGCATAGTGGCATACTGTATGATTTGATTATGTTTCTGAAATATAAAAAAAAATAATGAGGATAATAAATTTTTGTACATAAACAACAATGTCTTGCAATTACAGTTGTTTCAGGAGGGCAAGTGAAATGATTTACCAGTAAGTTGTAGTTGAGTTATTTAGGAATAGCACCAAAACCACAGAATATGTTAAATTACATTTTTTAAAGTAGAATTAAAGTGCTAGAGGTGGGATGGTGGCTGACAGACCTCCACTTGAAGGCTCATCTAGTTGCATTTTATTAAAATACCATCCAATATTCAGCACAAATAATGTTTAACAGATATGCCATAAGTTTGTTATAGTTAATAGCTTGCTTCTGGAGATTTATCTGTAATTTGACCATCACCCATCAGTAGACAGTATTTTAAACAGAAAAACATTAAATTCCTCAGAGCTTCTTTTCTTTAAGAAGAATAATAACAACAAAAATAATTACATTACAACCAACTGGTATTGAGAAAAATACCAAAACAAGTTTTTGGGATCTTAGGTAAATAAATTTAGGCTTTGCCTGAAGCATTCAAAACTGTTGTGTTGTTTTTAAAAACTATTAGTTATATGCTTTCACATCGTTTGTTTGGTAGGAATATAGTAATACAATAAGTATAGTAAATATTAACAATGACGTTAGTACAGTATTATATACTGTTAAATAATATTAGTAGCAACCTTGCAAATCCTTAATGATTCTTTAAAAAATGTATTACGGTATGTTTTTAGACAAGGGCACATTAAAGTTACAACTAATTGAAATTGTGAACGCATACCGCCTGCACATGGGAATAGAAGCATACCGCCTGCACATGGGAATAGAAGATCAAACAGCAGAAGACATAACAAAAGGTACTATTTGTCTTTATAAACACAAAGTTTTGATTACTTTTCACAGTCCTTTGCTTTTAGAAATACGACAATCATTTTTGCTAAATTTAAAAATTAAAATTACTTTATATTAACGACAAACACAAAGCTATATTCCGACGTTGACTTGCCTAACGATTTTACGGATTTTACAAACCAGCATGTCAAAGCAAAAGCAACAGCAAAGTGACCTCACACGGTCTGTTTAGCCATTAGCAAGGTAGGCCTAGTCCTAACTTTATACTATAGATACTTAGGCCCCTAGGTAAAGCATATAAATTATAGTTAGTCAGGTATAAAGTAATCATTGAGGTTATCATTAGTAATAACAGTTTTATTTAGCCTTGGCTTCCTAGGCAGCGTTGCCATTGTGGATGGCCTCAGATTCACACACCCTTCCCAGCCGTATTACTACCGACTAGCCTTTGTTCAACACTGTAATGAATTGGTAAAGTTGTCGACTTGTATAACAGACATAACTTGCATCGCACAAATCACATTTAAAGTGGTATCCACGCACTGTTTAATATATCTGTGATAAATGCATCTGTGTATTCTTCAATTTTTGCTCTTTCTGCTTGTAATACAGAGAAAAAACGTTTTGTCTTATTTTAATATATTACTTATTGTACTGTATATTTAAGTCAATTTATGACAGTTCTATTTCAATTACAGAAGATAGTGATTCAAACCAGCTGAAGACACAAACAAACAAATGGACGACGCAAACAACCAACCAGATAACGCAAACCAGCCGACTTTAGACACAACCCCACCAAATGATGACGCAAACAAACCAGCTGACTACACAACCCCACCAAACGGTGATGCAAACAAACCAGCTGACGACGCAAACAACAACGGACGGCGCAAACCAGCCTACTGACGATCATTGCCATTGGGTAAGTACAACTCCACACATAAAGTTACAAATATTATGATTTTCTGGAATAAAAGAAAAAGATAATGTTTAATTGTAAAATGCTATTTTAATTTTATTCTGTTTTACAAATAGTATATAATAATACCAGCATTTTTTTCTTCATTATAATTACAGCTATCAAACTTTCACTAAGTCCATCTGTTATTGCTGAAGTCTTTGGTGATGATGGTGACCAAATTTTCAACAGCACTTCCATAAGTAAGTATCTAAAATGCGTACCTTCTTGAGTATTACAGCACCATTGAAAAAATAAAATTGGAATATAAATCGAACTAAAATTTTAAAAAGAAAATAATTTTTCCTTCTTTATTCAAAAAAAAAAAAAAAAATTTGATAAAAAATGGCATTTAAATTGAACTAGGATTTCATAATCAATGAAAAATGTTATTTTGTTGACTTCTTGTCGACCCAATACGATTTACTCTAACTCTATTGTTCAGATAGGTATCAATCAAGCAAAGGTCTTTTTGTCATTGTATTTATTTACCTTTGGTTAATATTGATGATAACCATAATAATATTAATATAGGTTATTAATATAGAGCCTTATAATCTCTTAGATGCCAATTATATGCCTATAATGTAAATGCTTCGTTGGCTTGTTGACAATTATAATTTCTGTCTATGTTCAATATAACTTATTATTGTATACATTATGTTTACAGATGATGACCAGTGAAAAGCTAATCTGTACTCCTGTGGCCAAGAAATTGAAAAGCTTCGTGGGATTTGGTTCTGGCCAGAATGTAATGATGCATAACCAGACATAACTCCTTGCTAACTCCCGTCCAGGACTGAACACAAGTACTACAACCAATGTTAGCCAGCAGGGACCGTCATTAATAGCGAGCCAGTTCAGCAGGTACCCCCCAATGGCGTCGTTATGGTTGGAGGTTTGCTACCTTTGAGCAGTGAAAGATACATGAGTACTGTTGGGTGTGGAAAAAAATAAAAACCCCACTAGAATGGTAAGAAAAATTTTTGACATTTTTTTCTCCCCAGCAGAAATGGCCAAATCTAACTTATATGGGTCAAAAAAGGAGAATGGCCAAACTGTGGAACGGCCGGCATTATCACCCAGGCAAGCAAAGGCGATATTTTGCCAGATTGATAAATAATTTCCAGGCTCGCCTGTAAACAAATACACAGAATTGAAAGATGCGGTGAATGGCAAATGCCGCCAACAGGAAAAGGAAAAGAGCCTCTTGTAGATATTAATTGGCCATAGAGCACCAATGAGACCGTGCAACATGCCGTTTCAAGATGTTTTATCCGAAATACGAGTTTTTGAACGGGAACGAAGAAAGAAACCAAATTACGCACACCCCACCTCTGCACTATCATCTCCCGAGACAACTAAATATGTCCCGACCAACCAGAACAGCAAAGTTACCATACTACGAGAACCGGTTTAAGGTATGGAAAGAAAAATGAGTTTCCTTACTGCGAAATTACAAGCTAAGGAATTGGCACAACAAAACGTAACACATTCATCATCAGTGGTTTGCCACAGATGTGGTCAGAAAGGACACAGGCTATGTTCACACACATGGCGTAGCCTACGCCTTTGTGTGTGAACTAGGCATTGGTGTTATTAAAGCCACTCACTACACCACGTCCTTGGCGTTATTAACGCTACCTGCAGACCCCAGATTAGCTAACGCCAGTGATGCTTGAATGATTTTGACCTCAGGTCAAGAGATTGGCCAATCACGATTAATTTTGCAATAACTAAACAAGCTAGCTATGCTAGAACTGAAAGCGTGCGAACAGTTCACGGTGTCTTTCTTGAGTGATTTTATTTTGAGAGTGCAGGCCTATTGTTTGGATAAGAAAAGTCTATTTGTATTTCACAATGATGGTTAAAAGCAGAGTAACATGGAGGGCTAACGAAGTCAGCGACCTAATTGCGCTTTGGGGCAGTCCTGAATTTCGCGACAGGATAGAGGTGAGGAATTGGAAGTCAAGCGCTGGCAATCAGATGGCTGTTTTTAAAGAAATGGCTGAACGTCTACACCGCCTTGGTCATCCAAAAAAGGACGGCCATCATGTACAAACAAAAATAAAGGGACTCCGGGCTTCTTTCAAAGCCGTCAAAGATAAAATGAACAAGTCAGGTGCAGGGACCGACAGCCTGGGCGATTTTGAATATTTCGAAGAAATCAACAACATTCTGGGCCATAGGCCAAACGTGAACCCTTCTCCTCTAACAATCGGAGACTTGTCCGTTTCACGTGAAGTCGGACTGGCGGGCAACCGTATGCCTATGCCCAGTGGCCAGAGGCCTAGGCCTGCATCCTGCAACAGGATAAGTGAAAATGGTATGTATATACTATTAGTATTAAATACAGCTTTACAATTGTTTAATTGTTGATTACACATTTCATTAGAGTAGGCTAGGCAATTTGGCTTCAGCTTATTTTGAAGATGTCATTCCCACTGCCCTCCCCATCGCAAAATAAAATTGGTTTTACTGCGGGCTGGATCAGTTCTTGTCTAGGCATAGCCAGCTAGAGACTAGGCTTGCTAAACTTTAACAGTGGAATCTCCAAATGTCATCACTAGGTTTTGGCCTATCTATCATTAGTAATATTATTTTGCAAGCAGATCACGTGAGATTGATTTACAATGAATATGCTATGGTTGTTTGAGCACTAGGCTTAGTCAACAATCGTTGAATAGTACATTATCATCTCCAGAAGAGACGAAAAAAAAAATATATTCTACCCCATTGCACTCATGATCAACCATTATGTATATACTATACTAATATATATCCAATGTATATGTTCCAATTTTATTTTATTACAAATATTACATTTCAGAGAACAATGCGAGCAAAGACAGTGTGTCCCCGGTCGACTTTCTTCGGCGACCAGGTAGTAGTTGTGGTAGGAGTAGTGGAAATAGTAGGTGCTACTAATTGTGATACTAATTTAATTTTTTAATTTACTGTAGCATTTTCCTCATTAGTTGTGCACACCTAGTATGGGCAGGCGAGTGTGTGTGTAACAAACTGCATTGGCAATATGGCTAAAATATAAAATTCCCAAAAACTTTATTGTTTGGACATGATCAAAAAGCATACAGAAATAGTGATATTTCCAGTAAAGTTGTTGTTTCCGGTAAAGTTGTTTCCATTTTTTGCAAGGCTATTATAGAATATATTTGTTCGTAACATGGTAACATGCAGTATTTGTATTGCAGGTGATGATGCACTCCCGACGTTCAAAGGTGTTCCGTATAGTCGAGGAATGATTATTGGTGAAGATACTTTTTGCAAACTTATATCACCTCCTGTAGGAATTTTTTTATCTGAGCTTATTGTTTCTTCTTAAATGTTCTATTAAATAAGTTCAAAACCCATGGTAGCCACTGTCATTGAAAGAAAATAATGTAAAATGGAGATATTTTGTATTTAATACCTACCTGAAAATGGAGTTTTAATTAGGCCCTCTTGTTGATTTTACTGTATGGATGTTTGAACTTTTAATTTTGAGTTGCCATTGTCAATAAGGATAAATTGTCAATTGAGATGAAATTGTTTTCGGCAGATGATTAATATTGTATAAACTGTTACTATTTAGGGTTTGAAGATTGGTATGCAGAAGATGATGCGATGGAATCTGCATCGCTTGGCACAAATTCTGAAGGCAAGTACAGACTACTAAAAATATATAAATTGGCAGAGCATTAAATGTATCCTATTTATTGAACATGATTATTGAACATGATTATCTAAACATTGTGTATTTATCAACAATTGCACTTGACAATGTAATTTGTTCTTTTTTTTACAGAAGAATTAACAAGCGAATAATTTGCATTTTGGCGTAGCACTTGGCTTGTAAACTCTTAATATTTTCTTTTTATTATTAGTTTAACTGAAAATCAAATGCATTGTTCTCCATAAGGTCACAATGGTGAAGTGGGGGATGATGTATTGGGAACTCCAGACTCATCAAACAAAGTAGATGAAGTGGAAGGAGTGGATGAATCTGTGCCAGAAACGCCTGTCACTGGAGAACCGAGAGGTATTTATTTTTTTTATGTCACCAGTTTCTTTCTAGTGACTTTGATACATATGATTAAATAGATTCATAAATTTAGAATATGTACATCTTTTCATGTAATGTGTGTCAGTAATACACACAATGTATAGTCCCTTAATTCTAAACTCATTTGGAATTAAAACATGAATGTTGGAAAAATTTGGGTAATAGCATCAGCAATTTAAAAATTTGTGCATTTGGCTATATCATTCCAGATAAAAAGCGAAGACTACTAAGTGGGACAAAAAAGGATAGGGCCATTGACGCTGTGAGCAAAAGAATAAAAGAAGCATCAGATTCTAACTGGCGTAGAATGTCATCCATGTATGAGCGAATGCGGGAAGAAGACAAAGCTGACAGGGCAGAAGAGCTGCAGATTATGCGTACGATGACGTCGGTGTTAGAGAGGAGCTTGCAGGATAGAAGAGAGGAAAGAAGAGAGCCAAGAGAAGCAATGATGGAAGACAGACGCGCAAGAGAGGCTTCGATGACTCAGCTTTTCTCAATGATTCGTCCACATCAACCACAACAACCACATCAATATCAGTACAACAATCACTATACACAATTGCAATAGTTTTCTCTTCTGCATGACCTTAAAACAACTCCTGAATTTCTAGAATTAGATTTTTATACATTGCTTACTTTTCAAACTGTGCATACAGAATATGCAGTAATGCTCAGGGGCGGATCCACATATGTCCATTCTTTTTTTCTTCTTTTTTTACCTCCCAAAGGGGGGGGGGGAGCGGTCTCCCCCTGAATCCACCCCTGATACTGCAATATTTAATATATTGCTACAGTATATTTTTGTACAGTATTTGTAACTTAAAGGATTACTTAGTTTTCTTGTTTTGTAGTTTTTGCTATATATTTTCATTATATTTTGTATACACATTTGAAACACTTTTCTCTACATGACCCTGAAACAACTCTCAAATTAATTTCTAGAATTGTTTATAAATTGCTTACTTTTCAAACTGTGCATACCAAAGACAACCAGTAGTGCTGCATATTTCATATATTCCTATGGTGTATTTTTTTATTTGTTTTTTCATAGTTTTTTTCTATATATATTTTTCTAAATTTATTCCACATATTTAATGTTACATGATTGCAATAGTTTTCTTGTCTCCATGACCTTGAAACAACTCTGAAATCAGTTTCTAGAGTTTTGTACACTGCTTACTTTCAAACTGTGCATACCAAAGCCATCCAGTAATGCTGCAATATTTCATATATTACTATGGTATATTTTTGTATTTGTAACTGAATTTTTACTTGTTTACTTTAAATATTTTCCTAAATTTAGTTGACATATAATTCTTGTTAATTTCATTGTTTTGTTATATAAAACTTGCAATGACAGTATTGGTGTGTTGAAGATATTTTAATCTGTTTACAGTAATAATGATTCAGGTTTTAAAAATATACTTTTCAAAAATGGAGTTTGTATTCCTGTTGATATTCAGAAAATAGCTTGTTTTTCTGTTGATAATCTTATACCTTAATAAATTTTTTTAATGGTAACATATATCATGCTGTGTTGCTTAATGTGTCTATACACCTTAGCAGTCTGCTACACATCGCCGCATGTTTTGAAGTTGTTGATGCTGTCATGAGGGTACTATAGCAGGAAGGAACTGCATTTGTCTTATTGTTGCGTATACTGCATGTGTGTAATAAGCACAATGTATTACAGTAGAACGTGATGACGTAACTAAGTCTTCTGTGCATGCAAGGACATTTAATTTGGTCAAATCCATGTACGTAGAGAACGTAGTAGTCCCGGTTGGACGGTCGCACATGAGTGATTATGTCATCATGTCGTCGAACAAATCAAAAGCTCCCTATTATTACCGAGAATGCACCATTTTGACCAATTGTAAATGGACAAAAGGTTAAAATCAAGTGGTTTAATCTACAGGTGTTTGTAATTGAGTACACTTATCAGAGACATTGATTGTTTACTGAAAATAATAATTTATTATATCACACAGTAGCATACTTTACAAATTGATGCCTTGTTAAAACCAACAGGTATGTTTTCACATATTTTGAAAATACCTCACAAGTGAATCCCTTATACGTTCTCCAGAAGCAGTTGGTTGTTGCCTACGAATTTGTTCCATTGGACCATCGAGCTCAACAACTTCATCTAGTGCCTGGGGATAGGCAACATTTGATGCTTCGCAAATGTTGTGCCAAGTGCAGCATGTCTGCACTATAGACCTTAGATTGGTTATCTCATGCTCGTTCTCTTTGAGCAGCAATCGCCACCTGCCTTTCAGACGACCAAATGCTTTTTCAACCGTCATCCTTGTTGCTGAAAGTTTGTAGTTGTACAAAGTTTTTTCTCTGTTAAGATTCCCTCTACCTATCAAAGGTCGCATGAGGTTGGGCAGCAGAGGGTAGGCTGGATTGCCTATTATCATTAGAGGCACAGCACTACCCTCAATTTGCACAATCGACTCGGGCCTAAATAAAGTTCCATCTCTGAGCTTAGTACTCAAAGGCGACAAGTTGAAAATCCTAGCATCATGGACACTTCCAGGCATGCCCACAAAAGTATTCATAAATTTACCATCTACATCCGCCGTAGCTTGGAGAACTATGGAGTATGATCATTTGTGATTGAAGTAGTCCTGGGCGTGTTCCATGGGTGCAAATATTTTTTAATGTGTGCCGTCTATTGCACCTGCAACCTGCGGAAATCCTCTTTTCATTTTGAATTTCTCAACCATGTCCTGTAAAATAAAAATGAGAATGAGAGAAACAAAAATTTATGTTTTCATCATGCATTAGCCTACAATCAGAAAGGCCTTTCAAAAAATTCCCAATTAGATGCAAAAATGTTAGTGCAAGAAGCTATTACCTACTGTATAGGTAATAATTTCTTGGTTGAAACAGTAAGTATTAGTACAGAAAAAAAGAAGACACTGATCCTGATTTCCACTTAAACCTAAATGGTTTGGGAGAGGATTGTCTCGGGAGGTTTTTTTTTTTTCATACCAAAGTGATACCGTACTTACCAAGAGCTCTTGTCCTTCTGGCACACGAATAAACTTTGGCATCAAAACTCTCTCAATGACTCTACAAATTTCATGAAAAATTTGACATGCCGTTGACCTTGCAACACCAAACTGATTGGAGATGCCTCAAAATGACAAACCTGTAACGAGCCTATACAGGGTCAGAGCCAGTCGTAGCTCCAATGTAAAAGCTGCCCGCATTCTTGTATTTTCCCACTCGACGTGTGGTCTTAAATGCTCTGCTATGTACATGAAGGTAGCCTTGTCCATTCTGAAATGTTAAAACAATGTAAATATAATAATTTTGTTTATTTCTTTATTAATACCAATTTCAGTCGTAGTAGGTACACACAGGTACAGTAGTTGACAAGCACCAAGCCTAGGCTAGGCCT